GAGACACAGTTTCCCATCGGAAGAGACACAGTTTCCCATCGGAAGAGGCAATCAAAATCAAGCTGCTGATTGCACTGATATATATCAGTTTTTATTTATTATTGTATGTACTGTACCCCATGCAATCGTCCGTGCTGCAATATAAGTAAACATGTGAGATAAGTAATTAAAAAAAGATTAATACCGTCGTGTCTAGTTGGTCCTGAAATATAACCTTATAAATGTTTTACCATCCTCAGGGTCTATTCTCAATACTGCTTCCTCGTCACACGCGAATTCGCGAAATGATCGAAGAAGTCCTTGACGCAGACTTTATAAAGCAACAAGCTGAGAACAACAGCCTCGATTTTCACAAGTACGCACACTTCGTTGTTGACCTTATGGCCAAACTTGCTGCACCGGCTAGAGATGAGATGATCCAAAACATTTCTACGTTAACTGATACTGTAAGTGCACCGCGAAGACAAACTTATCATTAAAATTTAAAACAGAAATGTTGATATAAAATTTTTAAATCAGCATTTATCCCTTTTCACTTTCATGTTCTAAGATAATAGAATATTATAAGGTTCATCATAAAATACATTAAAATCGGAAATTGAATGCATTTTATTAACAAGAAAAAATAAACAAACTTGATCAATATTGATCAAGAGTTAGAAAGAAACGGCAATAACTGTTTGTGACGTCATATCGTAATGGCGTCATACTTGCACTTACTCGTTCGATAATTTCCCTAAAATGGGACAGAGCAGAAGCATCTCCACTACTTACTTTAAAAATTAACGCCACTAGTTCAGTTGAGATATCGTAAAAAAAAACCAAATTGATTTTTAGCTTACCCTTATATTCAGTACGTTAAAATACTTGTTAATACACTAGGAACATTTGTTATGTACATGAGCTTTAAGGTACCAACTGCGAAGTAAACTGTGAAGATTGTTATGATGATGTCCCTTAGAGAAGACCGTGTCTTGCAGAATCTGTACAGAAAAATGGATTAATAAACTTTGATCATTTTACCAGGTGGACATCTTCCGTGCGATTCTGGAAACCCTGGAAGTACTGAAACTCGACCTGGCCAACACGTTGATCGCGATGATCAGACCGCACGTCCAGCAGGAGAGTGTGCACTACGAACGAGCCAAGTTCGATGAAATGCTGCAGGTTACGGAAGGCATGTATACACAAACAAACCTGTCTCCTGGAGGTTGACAGAAACTATAGAAATTCAATACTGCTGCCATTAGTTGAAAAGGCGCATGTGACTTATTTTTCAAAAAAATTGTTATGTATATTACCGTGATCAATAAAAAACAGACGATCTGCCATTATTTTTATTTTATCTTGGGTATGAAGTTACCGCAAGAGACAAGTAGATTTTTTAAATGTCATTCCTTTACGTTCTGGCTGCCGCGGCAGTGGTGCGGGAATTATCCGCGCCCGGAACGCTTCCGCGGCCGCTTCTGTGTGGCCTGAGCATACACATTATAATACAGACCAGGAAGGATCAGTTTGGGAAATGAACTTTTCTGAATTGGTTCTGGAAAGTACCCCAGAATTCCGTTGTTCTTTTATTCATAAAACATGGAATTCCCTAGTTTGAGACCTGTGAATTAGTGTGATTATCTGGCACATTAATTTTAAACTAACGCTTCCTAATGTGAGTAGATGGCGCTAATTCTAAACAAAAGAAAAGAATAAGTGGTACTATCCATAAAAAACCTGTGCAATAAGCGCCATCTACTTGTTTTGTTTGTTATATCTTGAAATTAGAGTAGCTTTGATAAATTGCAGATTATCAATGTAAAACAAATTAGTCACAAAAATATGCTATTTGGCACTAAATGTATGCATAAAACGGACACATGCCACAACCTCACCTGATTGACTACATAATGCCTTTTCACTCTAGGTTTGAATAAATTTAAAAAGAAAACACCTTTCGGGAAATACAGTTACCGGTAGTTTATTCCATTGCTTTAAGCAACCACCCGTCAATCCATCTCTCCAATAGTCTCCCTTAAAACCTTTTTCTTTAAATGACAGGAAATATCACTTCTACTTCGCAGATGGTCTGAAGCACACCCGGGAATGGTTGCAACGGCACATCAACAAAACAGGCTTGTCCATACCCGTGACAGACGCGACTATAATACGCAACGTAACTGCCCAGACGCTCGCTAAGGCGTACCTTGAATTGTTAGAGTGGGATGGCACGCGTGAATATCCAGAGGTGAGATTTGTTTTCTTGTACCTTTTTTTTATAACATCAAGTGACTGGACGAACAAGTCGTGCGCCTGGTGGTAAGCTACACTGCCTGTCCATAACAGTTACAATGCCACTCACATCTTTAAATTGCAAAGATCTGACGGGCACTACCACTGCACCCGTCACCCTGAAACATAAGTTGACAAGTCCCATGTGCCTGTAATTTCACTAGCACCGTTACCCTTCAAAACCGGAACACATTAATGCTGACATTACTGCTTGGCGGCAGAAATAGGTAAAGAAAATAAAATTGTGTTGTTGTCCACCCAGTAGATCCCGTAAGACGTAGAATATCGAAAGAAATAAAGGAGATTGATACAGAAATAGACTGGTATGTTTCATCGGCAAAAGTATGAATGAGGATGGATGATAGAAAGAACCAGTATGAGGCATAAAAGTGCTAGAACAGGAGTGAAAGACGAAATAGAGATAAATAGGTAACAAACTTCGTTTCAATCCATTTTCAACAAAATCAGTTGTAATGCCAACTACAAATCGATTAATTAATTGAATGAATCGATTTGTTTCATTGAGTCATACTAGCGGTTTTCTCTACATTACCTATATAAGTATATTTGAAATTTCTGAATTCTTAAATTTAAGCCCATCTTCAAATCTTACACTTGGATACTCGTTCGACTGCAATTGAAATATTCGATTTACTAATCGATTACAAAAACTTAAATTGAATGTACCGAATGTTTTTTTTTTCGTACAGACAAATCATAGATGTCCAGATGAATAATAATCTATATCTTGAATAATCGAAATCGAAATCTTCGAAATATTCGTGAAAGTGCTACTTCTTCGATTTATTGAGTGATTATCTTAGAATTTTAACCAAACAGGTTTGTTAACTTTTTGTTGAAAATTTTTGGAACAGACTTTACCTCTGATCACGTCACAGGGGTAGCAGATTTAACAAAAAAAATAGGTAACGTGGCAGTACTACCCTGGACTCTTTCACAGGGAGCTCTGCTGCTACTGTTATATACAAACTTTTAAGATTACCACGACTTCGAATCCGACCTCGTACCTCTTGAATTTCTCGGAATTTATGTGCAAAATAATAAGATGAAGGAAAACATCGCGATGACACCTGCACGTTGAAGAAGATTCACAACCCTCGGAAAAGTCTGAAGCCACCAACCCGCATTGAGCTAGAGGGGTGGACTATGACCTAGACCTCGCCTGAGAGGAGACCCGTACCCAGCAGCTGGACATATAAACGGGTTGATGAAGATGATGACCTCGATACGGTAGATAATTCCAAAGTCAAGGTCATAAGTTCTCACAGATGGCTCTACTGCAAACAAAGCCTTTTAAAAGGAATACAAAGATCCGAAACAAGCACTTGGAGACTCGAAATATCTGCTGATTCGCCGATGATGCTCAGTGAATAAGAGTAATAGCTACGTTGAAACAACAGACACTAGTTCGAGCCCAGTCGAATCAGACGATTTTTTCTTTGTCAACGACCACCGTAATCCAGTGGCTTGCATACCGGTTTTCATGGTGTCGTCATCTCTGGTTCGATTCCTGGCCGGGCCAATGTAGAATGACTAACTTTTCTATATTTTCTCGGACCTGGATGTTTGTGGTAGCGTTGTTGTTGCTGATTTCTATAAAACAAGTGCTTTAGTTACTTTGTCATCGAGCAACATATGTGATGTTGTCTTATATTTATTTATTTCTTTGTCTTTGTTCGTATATGTATCGATAATAAAAAAATATGTAACAAATTAAGTATATCGACTGTGAACTGGCAACCGGTACTATCTTAAGTTTGACAACTTTACAAGATGAAGAAAAAACTTGTTTGTGTCATTTATTTAGCATCTGGTTTATTAAATAAAAATACGTAGTTTTTAAATATTTTTATTACACAAGTTATTAAAAATAATGGAATTTCTTGCAACGCTGCGGAGTATGAAATGGTATAAAATGGTATTAGAAAGTGAAATCTTTAGAAAATTGAGATTGAGGTTGCTAATTCACAGTAGATATGTGATATTGACGGTGAATGATCTATTTGTAGATTACAAATACTGCAACGGTTTGAATGGTGTTTTCAGACGGTCTCCTTAGACGCCCCCCGCTTCAGTGAGCTAGGTACACAAGTATACCATCTGGTAGTAATAGCATCTCTGATGCTGGTCAGTCCGACGTGCGGCACAGACAACGCCGCCGCTGCTCGTCATAAACAAACGCTCAAAGACAAGCTCTATATACTGCTGGATAATACTGCTAACGATATGTAAGCAACTTTTTTAAATAACTAATAGTTCTTAAATGTGCCAGTCCTTTACACCAGCACCCAGTATGGCAGCCTTCATCTCTATCTCTCAATCCAGGGTGTTACTAAAAAATTAATTAATATTTTTTCTTTTTTGTAATTTCAATAAGAATTCGCCAATGTAGAAGTGTATGGATAATATGATATGTAATTCATCTATATAATTAATATAATAATAATAATATTATAATTTATATAAAGTTAATTCAGTAGAAACACTGATTCAAACGGCAACACTGACAAAACTTTGACAAATACTTTAGTAGTAACCCAAAAGTAGAAATAAAAAAAGGAAAATAAAAAGTAGACAGTTGTTTTTAATAAAAACAACCACACTGAACCAGAGAAATAATAATAAATTAAATATAATAATTTATCTCTCTAAAAAGGGTATAACGCTTAAACTAAACACTACAAATACACTGTAAAATTCAATTCAAATCAATTTATTACTCCATATAAAGTTTACAAACGTCTTAAATAACATAATATAGGTCCTTAGTATTCTCAATTCAAACATGCTAGCTTTTATTATTATATTACGTATTTATTATACTTCTACATTTAACTACTACGCACTTATTTCTATGGATATAGTATATTACTTAATAATATACTCGTATTTAATGCATATTATTTAATATTTATCTTAAATTAAAACAATACAAATTGGAACATGTTTATGTTGTACAGTGGCCATAGCATGGCAGTATATCGCATGCAATATGTGATAAACCTCCCCGTGACATATTTATTTCAGTTGATAAAGCTTTGTTGCCATTATTAATTGTTTTTTTTATTGCGAATACTGACCGGTAAGATACGACACTAGTTATTCGTGCTTTTGTTTATTTGGTATTGAACTATTGTTATACATTTTGAAGAACAAGGATAACGGTATGAAATTGCATATATGCATAACTATCTTTGTTCGTTAATCATCATCACGAAAACGACAAAACAAAAAAGTGCCGGATTTTTGTACTTTTAGTTTTCACATATTTTGGTTTATTATCAAACGTATACTTACGTACACTTACGTATTTCTAAATACTCCAACGTATTGAACTGTAAAAATGTTCTCACCTTTTTCCAACAATTTTTATATGACAATTTGTTTGTTTTTATTATTTATTTTTATCTCGTTTGTCGCGCTTAATTTTTACATTGATAAAATTACTATACAGAACTGTCAAAATGTTTTAAAAACAGCTGTGACCTTACGGCCATATTTGGCACTGCGATATTCTTTCGCGGCCATTGACTGCGGCGCGCGAGGTGCGACAAAAATGTAACGTCACGGTGCTTGCCATGTTAGTTATAATTTTAAAATGTCGGTTTTATCACTCAATTTTCACTGCTACATATAACAGTTTTATCGTGATGGCATACTACGGGGACAGTAAGCATTTATTATTCAATAGCTTAATGCCATAAGTGACGAGCTTGCTATACAAAATAACTACAAGCTCCAAAGGCACCACTCAGTACACGTCTCACACTCGGTACATACTTCATCTGTACATAGGGACGAAGACCAAGTGGCCCATTGCCTAGAAACACTTCCTCTAAGGTTAGCCATAGTAAAAAAAGCCTGGCCAATGCGGAGTCTTCACGTGTTTTCGAAACATTTTGAACGTTCTCCGATCTGCTGATTTCTCCCACGACATTTTTCTTCATTGTTAAAGCAAATTATAATGTACTTTATTTGCAGAGAACTGAAGCAAATCCTCCCATCAGTCGCTGAGGAAATAATTTTAGTCACGGAACAGCTACTGGAATCTTTGCATCAAGATCCTTTAACCACTGACATGAAAGAGCTTATTAGAACTCAGGTCATTTCCCTGCGAGATCCTGAACATCGTGTTCGCCAGATAGTTCGTATGTATTGCTTTTTGACTTTTAGTGGCGGCATGGACCTCTTCGCAAAAGCCCTATTAGTTAGATACAGATGCATAATCGAAAATTGATATGATGCTACTGAATGAATACTGCATTAAGCTCTTGATTGCATAGTTCAAAATAGCGCTAATAGATGGCGCCTTAAAATGTTTTGTTAAAACTACTCAGCTATTTTAACGAGCGCCATGTATTGAGCATGATGAGAACAAACAATTATGATATAGTGAAAAAAAAAAATTTTCAATTAAATCTTATTAATACGTGCAAGTAAGAGAAGAAGCGTTTGTCAGTCACAACGAAATGACGTCAACTCTTTGACCACGTACATGTTCACTACAACACACAAACTTAGTGGTAACCTATAACCTTCAGACTAGAAATCATTTAAATCAGAAAAAAACAGAATTGGCAATGAATGACTTATATTTGATGTCGTAATTGTTTTTTTTTATAATATCAAGTGACGGGACGAACAAGACGCGCCTGATGGTAAGCTACACGCCTGTCCATAGCAGTTGCAGTGCCACTCAGAGCTTTAAATCGCAAAGATCCGAGGGGCATTGCCACTACGCCCGTCACCCTGAGACATAAGTTGACAAGTCCCATGTGCCTGTAATCTCACCAAATGCTCATTGGAAATGTTCGTGATGGTGTTGTAATTATTGTAGTATTTAAATTTGTTTACAGGTCAAAGAGTACTAGAATTCCTAGAAGTGATCCTGATATGCGCTGGCGGATCTCGGCAAGTACCAGTCGGTCTTTCTGCTTTATCACGCGAACTTACCACCGTATCAGGAACTCTACTACGATATGTGATGCACAACAAGGCTGTTTTCACTAAACACTACTTGGACATCATTGCTGAGGAACTTAGTAAGGCTTGAATGATTTGTATTGTGATAAGATCCGTAACAGCTATAGTCATAGGTCAAGATATATTAATTTGTCTCTGGAAGTGTAATAATAGAAAGAAGTTAAAACTATACTATATTTTTTTATGAAGTGACGTTTGCAGAGTTGCCATTTTTTTGTAAAAATTATAAAGTCATGTCGTTGTCGTCGATAGTTCTATCGATAGATTGCGAAAAAGAAATTCAGAAAGATATGAATAGTGAATATTATGACGATTAATAATTGCGTTATCGCGTTCTGTTTTCCAATGTTAACAAAATGCACATTGCTATTAAAATGAATTCGTTAAATACATAAGTACGATCTTATTTATTCAAGATTACGTCTATTTTTATTATATAGATTTTTTTACGTTTTATGAATCTTAATTTACATCCAAATAAAATAAATTCGGCCATTATTGCGTCAGCCTACTAATGTTCAATCGATAATCGATAGAATATTTATCGACTGCAATAACTGGCTGCTTGTAAGCTGGCAACCTTTTTGCGCATTGAACTGTCATTATACTAGAGCTTTGAAAAAATATTATATATTATTTTTTAAATCAAAAGACATTCCGCCTGATGGAGAGAGTAGTTTCTACTGCCTATGTGTGAAAAAATAAGGAAGTGACCAAAAGTAACTGAATAATTTACTAAGTATTATTCACTCTATTTCATGAACCAATAACTCAAGAGGCCAGCTAATCGCGATACAATCGAGTGTCGTCAAGTATTTAGTACCTATTAGAATGCAAGAATATCGTAATTTAATACAGTCGAAAGAATATATGATCCACGTTTCCTACGTCTAAACCACACTCACGCTATGAGAGGATAGTCAAATAGCTATTTTTGTAACTATTTTGTTTTACATTGATAAGCTGTCATTTATCAAAGCTACTCCAATTTGTAGTGATAACAAACAAATCAACTAGATGGCGCTTATTGCACAGATTTATATGGATAGTGCCCACTATTGGATCAGTTCTTAAAATATGGCGAGAATGCAAATCAACACGCTGTATTATTTGAAGTTTAGATAAGTATATTCTGCCTATACCGATCTCTTGTTAGAAGTCAGTATTAAAAATGTTTCTTTAATCTTGAAACTCCCACATCATTGAACTGGCTCTCCTTACCCTTCAACCGAAACACAGCAGTGTAGTTTTTAGTAGTACTAGGTAAGTCAGTGGTGAACAACCGTTTGTTTCTAATGAAATTACAGAGGCCAATGGCTATAGCTGGTACCTTACTACTTCTGGCTTTATAAGGTAGTCCGCGAGGAGTAGAAACAGAACCTGAAATTCGGTTATCCTTTGTAATTCCACGGCCTGCCTGCCCTTGCCGAATCTGACGGCGTTAAATATTAGCTAGAAGAAACTGTAAAAACGTATAAATATACGTGTAAGATGAGTACAGGAGATACCATAACTGGTAGAACAATGTTTATAGTCAACACAGTAAAGCTCAAAATCTTTGGGACAAAAATTAAAATTTATAGCAAGATATTAATATATTTTAACTTAACAAAATGTAGTATTTATATACAACAATTTTACAACTTTATACATATAGTATAACGGATAGTGTACCGAAATATTTAAACATTTGAAAGCAATCCCGATTAAGGAGTCGCCACACTTTACGACACGGATTCGGCTTGAGCCGACAAGAAAAAACATTATTCAATAAGAGCAAAAAAGACGTTGTGCGTTTCGCTTTACACAACCTAAAACTAAACGTAACTCACAACGTCTTTTTCGCTTTATTTTTCTGACCGACTCAAGCTACCGATAAGTACGACTCCTTTATCTGGTGACGATGAGGCTAGAGCATATTTTCGACTCATATTTGCCATTTAAATCACTGTTTTTACTATTTATCCTATAAATAAGATGATGCGCAGAGCCACAGCGTCAGTTATACATTTCCAGTGTAAACTGATACACGAAATCATTAGTAGACCTAGCAAAAAGTTTGATAAAGCAGATTTGTACTTGTAGTGTTTATACCTTCGTCCGTACATTTTCGTTATACTTTTCTTTACATCATTTTAAAATAAATAGTATTAAGCATTTACTTCCTAATATTTGACTTTCTAATTGTATTTTAATATTAATGTAGGGAATATAGTCAAGAAAATCTTTATGTCCATGCCATGATAGAGAATCGCTTCTCGTCGTTAAGCGTCTTTTTCTAAACTACTGAAGCCGTTTCTGCGTCGATAAGTGTGATAACTCCCATATTTTAAATATCTTGGTGTCGATTACATTTTATTATTACTATTATTAGGAAATAATTTAAAATAAATCTTATGGAATGCGTGTTAGTTGATGACCTACAATCATGTCATAAATAAATATGATTATTCCCGTTACTCCCGCTAGCGTTCCCAATTGCCTTGTGGCGAATCTTGTCAATTCTCGATTTTGGCACCATGTCACGCCTATGGCGACACCTAAGAAAAAAATATCCAGTCACTGCCGTAGAGGGCAACCTTTAAACGCTTCCTTCCCAGTTGTACCTGCTCAGTCCCAGTCGTATCTCCAAGAATCTCTTAAATTTTTCGGAGAGACATGTTAAAACAAAAAAAATGGACGTCTTGAAAATCATCAAAGTTTTATAAAAATATACATGTCGTTGTTTAAAATATTTCCCAATTGGCCGCCTCTAGCGCCTAGCCGAAAGGGGATTACTGGACAGAACCATCACCACCAGCTGCAACTGGGAAGAATTAACATTCCGGTGAGCACTGAGAATAATCGAAAAAGTCATCAATTATTTCCTTACATCACACGTAAGTCAAAATACCATTTATTGGCTTTCTACCCTAAATATATCCTTTTTTATGTATGTTGTAGATTCCATGTTTAAAAGAAAAGAAATCACATGGTGTTATATTGCCTTTCAAACATAGAACCTATAATATCCTTTAAAAATTATATATTTAAGTTAAAAAGCAAAAAATGGTATGTTGACTTAAGACAATTTACGTGTGAGGTATCGATTTGCTCCTTTTTTTTTTTGCACTACCATAGCATTCCCGATTAGTGTTATCGCTAGCTCGTGTGCTGGTGTTTTTGAGGGATATAACTAACACGCGCAAACTGTAGTCTGAATTGCCTATTAAAATTACCTAGTACTAGCTGACGGTGCTTTTTGATTTTACTTAATATAATAATGACTGCTGAATGAGTTAGTTTCGGACCTACGCCATGTTGTAAAATTGTAAAATCTTATTTCTTGGACGGACAGTAAGCGTATCCTTTACACTTAAAATCGTCACGCGTCCACGTATAATCGTTAGGGACACCGTGTGTCACCGTAGATTATGGTAAGCGTCCTAGAGCCAGAGTGTCTCTAATGCGCAGCAGTGCTGTCATCTACCATTTAGGGAGTCACCATACTTGTCGACATGGATTCGCATTAAGCCGGTCAGAAAAATCTTTATGTCCATGTAATATAATATAATAAAAGCGAACATGACATAAGGCGTTTTGCGTCGTCGATCCGAGCGAATGCGAAACGCGCAACATCTTTTTCGCTCTCAATGCATGTACATAAAGGTTTTTCTGACCGGCTCAAGGCCATTCCTTGTAAATAAATGTGGTGAGTCCCTTAAGAAAAAATATAAAATTAAAAAAAATTAGGGACACCGCTACCCTCGTCATCATAATTTACGTAATCGGCATTTTAGCAAAATTGAGTTATTAACATATCTGGGATCAGCGAAATTATACCTACAACCCCCTCTAATTTTTTATACGTTATTTAATTTCAGTTTCATTGCTAAGTAAAATCAGCGTAATTGACATTTTTTACTAGCAAAAAAAGTTTAGGCAGCACCATGAGTCTCTGACGCGTGATGCGTTCCAACCCCAACCTTGTTGTCAAAAGTTATAGGCGTTTTTGTGTTCTGTCGATTGCACCGGTTTCTTGACATTTTATTTCATCAATTAATAAAAGTAAATTTAGAGCTCAAAAGTATCTTGTCAGATTTATATTACAAATTGTATGTGTAAAATGAAGTTACCCAACTTATACAATTGTAAATTATGAAGTTATGTAATGGAATACCCTCTTAATAAATGATTATTATGCATAAATTTTAAATTTGTTTACCATATATTTTCTTTAATGTGAGTGAGTGAGATTTTTAGCTTAATTTTTTTAGTATTAAGTTGCTTAACTGCTCTATATATTTAATGTACGTGTGTATAACTAGTGCGTGTATTAACTAGTTTTTTTTAATATATCGCACTGCTATTACAATAGTGTTATAACTCAAAATTCGTGAAATTCAAGTTATACCATTGCTGAATTAAATTTTAATAAAATCGTCGTTAGAATATTGTAAGAAACATTTAAAAGATATCTACTTAACTCAAAATGAGACAAACCTTAGGTGTGCTAGTTCTGGACAAAACAGTTCTTACTCAAAAAAATGTGATTTTTTCCCCTTTTATTTTTAAATATATTAGGAAAGTAGAAAACTGTTTAGATGCCTGTATTAAACTTTAACTCATATATACATTTTAATAATCTTTCACTGGAAGTGAGTAATTCGTTTTTCATCGATTCTGAAAAAGTACACTTTTTGAGTTGATACACTATTATAGTAATAGTGCTACATGTCCATGTATTATGACACGAAATTTTAGAAAAATTGACATGGTAATCTCAATATGGCTTCTTTTTTTGTACTGTTTTTAGGGCTTTGACATGAAACCATATAGCCTAATATGGCGTTATTATAATTATTATTTTCTTAATAGCGGCCATTATAAGGCTCGGGACCGTGTCAATTTTGATTCGACTAATAAGGCATCTGTGATTGGCTTGATTTTTGGCACTTCTGATTTTTTTTTAATGTAAAATAGGCGAACGCTTGTCCACAATCTCGTTTGAAGCGACGGTCGACTATGTTACGCGTTTGTTTAGGAAATGCCTATTCACTCTAGCCTTACATAGCTCTAAATTATAGCTTTCGGGGAACAGATGTAGGAATGCAGTGTATTCCATTCTTTTGACGTGTTCATAAATTAATATTTCTACACAAAATTAATAAAATTTACAAGTAGTTATGTCATTACTTGTAAGATGGTATTAAGTGAGAATTGTCACGAACGTATTATAGTTCTAATTATTATTTATTTATTGAGCATTCGTTATCAACTTAAAAAAGATAGTAAACGTAATATACATAACTGAAAATTAATTCATGTAGAAACTACAAGAACCCGCCATTTTTTTCTGGTTCCGATGACCGTTTTTCTATTTGTTTTGAAACTAATCAATCAGGAGCCACCGTCTGGCTCTCTACTTGATTTATTAGTTTCTTGGCATTGCCATGTTACTTCGTCGATTGACGGAATTTAAAAATAAACAGAAAACATGTATAATGTTACCATTGGTACTTTGAACTAATTCCAATTTCCTCGTTTGTCATCACCATCAGATTCTAGAAAACCTAAGCAAACATACAAATTTGACTTGGTTTTTATTTATATAACTATAACTCAACTCTTTTTTAAAATGGCTACTTTTTGGAGATATCACATATGTTTAAATTTTTAATCATTCAAGCTACAATATTGATTCTTATGAATATTATGATGTTTCACTACCATGCTATTAATTTTTTTATGAAATTACTCCACTACTTTGTTTGTTATTAAAGAGGAATTAATTGATAAAACTACTTCTACGCTATTGATCAGCGCCATCTGGATATAAAACGGAATGTTGACCTTTTTCAGAGTTACGAGTTAATGGAGATTAGCAGTCCTCTCGAGTTGTTGATCCACAACCATATTGAGGACTGTAGTATTGATGGAAATGATTATGACGTTTTACACCATGACATAAATTTTATTATTTGTGAAATTACTCTACTGGTTTGTTACCATTGTTAACACAAAGATCGAATATAAAGAAAATTTTTCTTCGAACTGACAATACTGTGCCACGCCAGGACGACCGCTCTACCAAACTACAGAACGAGTCAACAGACCTTTCTAATTCTTTTACACGTTTGTTACAGATCTTTGTTTTTCGTTTTACAGTACCAGCCTGTAAATATTGCACATCAGGAAAATTAGGAAGCCACGAACATTTCCGAATGCTGTTGCCGCGTCTATAACTTATTGCATCAACAGACCTTACGAATTCTTCTACACGTTTGTTACAGGTCTTTGTTTTTGGTTTTACAGTACCAGGCTGTAAATATTGCACATCGGGAAAATCCGGAAGCCACGAACATTTCCGAATGCTGTTGCCGCGTCTGTAACTTAGTGCATTAGTAACTGATGTATTTTTAATACTATCAAATAAGACGGGACGAACAAGTCGTACGCTTGATGGTAAGCTACACGCCTGTACATAACAGTTGCAGTGCCATTCGGGGCTTTAAATCGCAAAGATCTGAGTGGGCTGTCACTGCGCCTGTCACCTTGAGACATAAGTTGATAACTCCCATGTACCTGTAATTTCACCAGCACCCTACTATACGGTTCCAAACCTGAACGCGGTAATGCTTATATTACTGCGTGGCGGTAGAAACAAGTAAGGTGGCAGTACTTCCCTGGACGAACTCTTTCACAAGAAGCTCTACTGCAACTAACTAATATATTTACATCGCGTTGTATTTATGAGAATTTAATACAACTCGAATAAATACATCACTGAATAACACGATGACATACAACAACAGTATTCGAATATAGTCGTAGATTCCGCGTTTTCCCGATGTGCCATACATACGACCTACAGTACTTCTTTTTACCGTAGCGCCACCTGTAAAATTCTATGAAAGTATTTTCTTCTCTCGACACGGTATGGAATATTCACAAGTTCGAGTTCTGTCAAGTTTTGTTTGTGTTCGATCTTTGTATTAATAATTATTCAAGCTCCATTTATTTTAAATACTTAAGCAATAATAATCCAAAATGTTCAGTTACTTAACCTAACTTTAGTATTGTGTTAAGTTTAACAAACAATCAAGGAACTGTAAACATATTTTATTTACGGCAATATTAATTAAAACGATCAATGAAATGCATGATATTTGTATGTACGGATTTGAGATATTTAAACGGGAACAATAATTTAAAGCTGTCTGTTGTTTATGCTTATAACAAGTGAATAATGTACTAATAATAATAAAAATTGTTGCTAAAAAACGCACATTTCATTTTAATAATTTCAACAACCTAGACGGATCTGATCTGCGCCAACAAGAGAGAAAGAGCCGCGTACGAATCTTTTCATTTTGCTTCAACATTTTCTTCGCTAGTAAATACAAGGCCTTTTACAACATTTTGGTTCAATTTGAATTATCTATGGAAGAATAGAAAACTAGTATACTAAACGTCTTTTCCATAAATCCTTGTTGGAAATTTGTATTTGCGAAAGCGGGGGAAAACTTTCTTCGACGATAACACTATTTTTGTATTCTAGCCCTTTAAGACAACTATGCGAGGTGGCCCGAATTATGTGTCCGGAAGTATATTTCCTCGCAAATGTGATGAAAAACATTGTAAGTATCACGGAAGGTAAAAAAATACAAAACTCGAGTTATTAAAGGCCTCAGTCTTCTCCTCGGGCTTCTAATATTCCCTCGTTGGTAATTTCTTATTTACCGTCCTTATTGCACTACTATTACATCACACTTGCACGTAAATAGTATGAATGAATGCAGGCTAAGCTAACTATAATGCCCCAAATAAAACCCTCAGGCCAATTTTCATCTCATTACAGCCATGGTCGAAATCGGCCGTACTATTTACGTGCAAGTGTGATGAAAAACATTGTATGTTTTACGGGAATTACGAACCTCGACTTCGGGCTTTTAACATTTTCGGTCGTAATTACTATAGTGTGACTAGCATAAATCAAGCTATGGCACATCACCTAATCTAACTAATAATACCTTGATTATACCCTGACCGTTAAAAACGAAAATAAAACCGCCTGGTGATATGAATACTCAGTAAGTTGGATTTATGGAGTCACCACAGGTACAAGCGGATTCGCATTAAGCCGGTCAAAAAACCTTTGACCATGCAATAAAAACGAAAAAAACGATACACGTTTCGCTTCTACTCGGATCGCCGACGCAAAACACACAACGTAATTTTCGCTCTTCATACATGGACATAACATTTTTTTTAACCGGCTTAATGCGAAAGCACCTCGATAAGTGTGGTGACTCCCTTAAACAACTATTTCTAATATCTCGCACATAATACCAAATACTGTCATAACATAACTCAAAATAGCTGAATTTATTGAGAAAATACGATTTGGATACTGAATGGATCTTAATGGGAATAATGTGATTTTTTTTATTTATACATAATAAAATCCAATTCATTTATAAACGAGAATATACACTCCCGGACACAACTTTCGAGCCACCTTCAATTTTTATTTTGAAAGACCTAGAATATAAAAATATTGTTTTATTAAAGAAAAAGTTTTTATGCAGTTTTAATGCTGGCAGGTTCCCCGTTATTATGGTCTGTCGTTGTTCCAAATTTGAATTTACGAATTTGAAAAATGGAGAAAAGTGATTCGTCAAGATTTTTAAAGAAATACGGAAGTATAAGGTGCAAGTCAAAACGAAATAATTTCAATATTTTTTTATTTAATTGTTTTATTTAAGAATAAAGGAGTATTACATTGTTTTTCCACTAAATTTAACCAAATTTGTCGAAGGAATTATGAACACTGCGCCTGAAGTAGCCGCACAAACTGTGGCACTTTTGCAGTCTGGACTTAGCGTAATGTAAGTACACACCTGCATTTCAGTCGTTCCGCTGTTGAAAGGTTATAACCATCGGTACTTAGAGACTGGCGGCTATGTTCGCCGTCAAGGAAGACCACGATTTCGAGTGACAAAGGAAAGGCAAGATCGATTAATCTTCACGACGAGGTCACGAAATCGTCAACTGACTTCAGTACAGATCCAAGAACAGCTTCGAGACTTTTATGGAGTGGCTGTTAGCGCTAGAACTGTGAGAATGAGACTTAAGGAACGTGGTCTAACTCCACATAAGCCAGCGAACGGGCCCGAATTGACACGAGCTCATCGAATGGCGCGACTACAATTTGCACGAGAACATTTGCATTGGACTCCACGTCAGTGGAGCCAGGTGGTCTTCACTGATGAAACTAAGATTATGGTCTATGGTAATTATGGAAGGAACAAGGTCTACCGAAGACAAGGAAAACGTTTTGTGCAGTGTTGCATTGAAGAGAAAGTGAGCTGTGGCGGGGGTTCATGGACGGGCTGGGGAGGAATGTCCAACGAAGACAAAACTGCGTTTGAGGTTGTGACGGGCCCGCGGTTGCCACCATTAAATGCCGACAGATACATTCGCCAGTGCCTCGAAATTCATGTAATGCCATATGCTGGCTTTGTAGGTCGAGATTTTATTCTCATGCATGACAACGCAAGAGTGCATACTGCAAGAGTCGTCACGGAATACCTTCATGACGTCGGTATTACTACCATGCAATGGCCAGCACGAAACCCGGATAGAACATTTATGGAACGAGCTAAAGAGGCGTGTTCGAGCTCACCACCCAGTCCCGAAAAGTTGAAAGTTGCCATTAAGGAAGAATGGGAGAACATTCCACAGCACTTCATATTGACGTTAATTAATTCTATGCCAAATCGCATGGCGGCCGTTGTCAACGCTCTTGGAGGCAATACAAGTTACTGAATACTAATTTTTTCCGATAAGCCACTGTTTTCTTTAAAATTTCTTTACTAGAGTTTCATTTGACAAAGGTGAATTCAAGACTTGTGACAATACGATCCTGAGGGTCGTACTCCAGAACTCTACTCAATGCTCCTGACTTGAGCAGACTTAAGTATGATTTCAAGCGCTGGAAATACGACCATAATGGCAAGGCCTTGAGTATGATTTTCAGTGCTCACTGCAATACTCAAGTCCTGACTTGAGCATTGAGTAGAGTTCTGGAATACGACCCTCAGGATCGTATTTCAGAACTCTACTCGAGTATGGTTTAAAGCACTCGAAATCATACTCAAGTCCCTGCCATTATGGTCGTATTTCCAGTGTTTGTGTTTCAATTGCAATCCTGACTTGAGCAGACTCGAGTATGATTTCAAGCACTTGAGATACGACCGCTTTAAACTAAATTCGTTTTTCCCTGGTTTCACAAAATCAAATTTTAAACAAGGACATACGGAAATGACGTTTAGTAAACCATCTTCAAAAGTGCATTAATAGTTTTTATTTTTTAAGCTTCGGGCATTTAATACTAAAAATGCAAGGTGGCTCGAAATATGTGTCCGGGAGTGTATTATTGTAAATTGGTTTCATTGAGTACATACCTATTAACGACGAGGAAGTTAGAGAAAAACTTTTACTGCCTAAACGCAAAGCCATTAAAATAAAAAAAAGGTCAACAACAAACAAGTGCGTTGTTTGTTTGTATTTTTTATGAAAAATCTAATTTTTATCTCGAAAACCATTAACTAACAATTACGATCATTGAAAGTTACATTGTATAGGTAACTACAGTTTATTTCAGGAAAACTACCTTTATAAAGTATTTATTGTCAAGTAGTGGAGCTTGTTGAGTTGGCTGTTGTTGAATTTTATAATTAGAGCATAATCCCTGTGCGTGACGAAAATCACAATGAGTGTAAAAAGTTTTATGATAGCACGATCTTCTGATGTAAATGTAGAACAAATTCTACTGAAGCCAACGTTTTACAATATGATTGACTGAATTACGTGTTTTTTGAAGACACCTATTATGGATTCTTTTATAGAAAAAGTTAAACTATATCCCTGTTTGTGGGATACGAGCCATGTATCTTATAGGGATACCGCAAAAAAGGATTTGGTATGGCAACATGTAGCCCGGGAATGTGGAATAACAAGTGGTAAGTGTAAATTTCTATTTCTTATGTGTCACTTATCGATATGGAATCGCATTAACCCGTCGTATGTACAGTCACGGAAAAAGCCATGGTAGCCTACCGCTTCTCAAGCATAGGCCGTGGTTTCGACTCCGGCCTCGAACAATATAGGAAAATCTCGGGAAGAAGAAGGTTCACAACCCTTATAACATATGTGAGGTCCCCAACCTGCATTGGGCCTGTGCAACTGAACAAGATCCATCAATGTTTAACTTGATGTACTGCCTCTGTACACAATAATATCGATATATGCTTTTAAACTTTCGCATTGCATTGTACTAACATTTGGAAACGGGAATAAACATGTTCACATGTGAATAGATTTTTTTCACACCGACCTATATAGTTTCCTGACGTTTCGGCCAGGTTGCACTGGCCGTGACCACGGGCTGATTGGTGATGCGGTGTTTACATCTCTCACATATAACTCACATTTAAAGTTTTTTTTTTTGACAACTCTAGGGTAAAGCACATAAGTCAAAATCCAATATCATCATATCATCCAATATCATTTAAATTAATACATCTACTGGTTAAAGCACATAAGTCAAATTCATTTGTTACTTCATAAATTTCGAACTTTATTCTAGAGGTTTGTTAATTTCCAACATTAAAAACAACACAAAAAAATATATAATTATACATTAACAAATGAAACACTTTTTTGACTTATATGCTTTAGTCTGCCAACCGCAGAAATATCATACCTTTAATTTTATTTGTTATATGGAAACCTAGAAAGTTTCAGCTTTTTCATGTAATATATAATATAATAAATTAGACTTGTGATTTTTTTTTCTTAACGAAAATGACTTAATAAATTACTAAATTGCTCTCATGTAATATTTTGATCGTGTCTAACATGCATTTGGAAAATTATGCAATGTCAATATATGCAGTTTTGTCAGTCTCCTTTAAAATCGCTCAAATTCAATTGAACACTGTTGTTCGCTATGTGATGGTATGTAGCTACAAGCCATGCTTCCATAAAAAATACAAAAAACAATAACTTTTGCTTTTTTCAGGTAAAGAAGCTCAATGTCAATGGAAGAAGTTACGAGACAGCCATAGAGAAGCTATGCGACGCCGCAAAACCTCCACAGCCCAAAATTGGAGGCCTTGGAAATATGAGACGGAGATGGGATTCTTACTGTTGCAGAATGTAAAAAGACCGACCTTTTTAAATGATACACAAGATAGTACTTATGATGCTCTAAACACTACAGAAAACCCTATCAATAATACTATTAAAGAATCTCCCCCAGAATCTCCTCCTCTATCAGAATATTCACTTCCAACAGAAGAGAATATGAACCACTGCGTTTTACACCCAACATCATCTACAGAATCAGAAAACAGCAACCAAAAGAGACTTGTGACTGAAAGTATTACTGATATTTTCCAGGAAAGAGAACTAAGACAGATTCATAAAGATGAGCTAAGGAGACAAGTTATTGATATGCATCACTGTCCACAAGATGCGCTATCAAAATTATTTGATAGTTTATGTCAAAAGACACGCGAACTACCAAAGTACTTGCAACTGAGAGTAGAGAGAGAAATATTTGAAGCAGTGAGCCGTGCTGAAGAGGAAGCTCTGTCTATGGGAGAGCATAAGTTTTGACTTCTAAATAAAACAATCAGTTTAGTTAAATTATAATCTTAAATTTGATGAATGGTTTGAACTAAAATGAATGAAGTGTGTACATGAGTGACGTAAAATCATGGACAATACAACCCTTCGGAGAATGAAAAGCACAACTAACAAGTCCAAAATTCGGATGTATGAATTTAAGAGGACCCCCCACACTAGCATCTTTCGAACGCCAGCGTCTTGCCAACATACGCACGGTATCGACACGAAGTCTGCGCTACCGCGACGCGACGGTAAGCGAGCGGGGCATATACCCGACGTTTGGCCCTATTCAGCAGTCGCTCAGTGCTGGCATTGCGTCCACAAATTAGGTCACGACAGCGTGGACATGACGTGCATGCATGGCAAAACGCTGCAGGTCGAAAGGCGCTAGTGTAGGGGTCTCTAAAAATAATTTTATAGGTTTTTCTGATAAATATGATCAAAATCTACCTGTAATATTAAGTTGTTTATTTATGTTATATACACAGATATATTTTGTACAGAACTTCTTTTATATATTATAATCTGCCGTTTATAAAACACCCAAATTTTCTGTTTTAAAAATATTATTGCACTTAAAAGCAGAAGAAACTTAAATGTGACTTAATAGTTGACTTATAATAGAACTAGAGGGCACAATTACAGTCAGCTGTGCTTTTTTTTAGTTATTTAAGAGCAGTTACACACAGCGACTTCTAGCAGTGCGTTGCAGCGATTCAGTCGCTAATAGTCTACCTTTACACAGAAACACTCGACTTAAACAGCGATGCAAACGTGGTACACGTTTTTAATGATTCAACTCGATTGCATCGATGCAACTTCCTACAAATCCTTAACGTCGCGATGCAAACGCGCGTTTCGCGAACTGGCGTCTGTCGCCGTGTGTAACCGCTTTAAGAATAATATTGTAATTGAACTACATATATTAAGGGCACAATTCCGTACATTACTAAGTACTCGTAAAAACCTTTGGTATTCGCGTTTTTAACGTAATAAACGTCAGATAGGACTTAAATAATAGAAAATCTAATTATTAAGTGTCTTTTAACACGTTCCCTGTGGAACTAGAAATAAAAAATTGACCCCTCACGTGCAATTTTTTTTTTTTGCAAATACGTCGGAATTGATATATATTAATACATTTATGGATAGAAAATTCATTTTCATAAACTTCCTTTCCATTATCTAATTTTTCCCGAGTGCCCCATATATGATACACGCACGTATGAGCTCTTTACTTGATGCCACATATATGGTGCATGCACGTACTAGTTGTTTACTTAATGCATCACATATAATTCATGCACGTTTAGAGTCATTTTGACAGATGTTTTAGTTAAATATCTGTAGTCTATGTGTAGTCTATACCGTGAAAAGATAGAAAAAGTTAGTGAAAGTTTATTATAAAGTGTTACGAGTTATATAGTTATCTAAGTGTTTGACAAAGTTTTGGTTTTATCAACATGTCATGATCATCAAATGGCAATGTCTACTGGTTTCAGGCCAATCATGAAACCTAAAATTGTATTAGATTACAATCGCGGCAAGAAGGGCACTGATATAGCTGATCAGCTCGCAAGTTACAATTCGCCCGTTCGCAAAACTTGTTTTTTGTATAAAAAAATTGCGGGTGATCTGATGTCGGTAGCTGTTGTAAATGCAATTTTGATCTACAAGGACCTCCATCGAAATAATAAAATGACACTGCTGACAGGTCATGAAATAATTATCAGTCATCTCCTGGAAATTCAAGATGCTGAGCTATTAGCTGGGCCATCAATGACATCTAACTATTCCCGCCATGAATTGACCAAAATCCCACGCCGATGTGCTACCAAAATTTCCAGAAAGCGTTGTGTTGGTTGCTACAAAATTATGACTGAACAAGGCAACACACCTACAGAAGCTCGTAGAAAGGCAAAGCAAACGGACACCGAATGTTTGATGTGTAAAAAAGCATTGTGCCTTCATTGCTACAATGCTAGCCATTAAATAATGATTTTAGTTGTGCTTACCAGACAATTTTTGTTTCTTGGGTTTTATGACATTGTTTATTTGATTATTGTTTAGTTTTTATTATCACGTGCCGTATACGCAAGTCAATAATTAGATCTTTCTAACTTGTAATAAAAAATAATAAATATTTTTCGTGATTTATTTTGATAGTAATAATCTGGCAACATTGGTTAAAAAGTCATCCGGTACCACTTGCTTATTGTCACAATTTTTGTGGTCCATACGTGCAAGCAAATAAAGATGATCTAGGTTACACGTGCAAATTTTGAAAAACTTTTAAATTTACAAAGAGTCGTGTCTTATATGTGGTGCACTCACGTGTCGTTTGGACCTCGAAATGCATCACATATGATGCATGCACAGGGAACGTGTTAAGCTTATTGTATGAATTATTGAGATTGCAAAAAAATTAGGCTTGTAACTCGCTTTTGTTTTCTTGATACCAAATATGGATATAGGTGAGAGGGTGTGGTGACTTGAGAATACGGTAATAATTGGAATCCTGTCTATTAAAAAATAAAATGGTAATAAAAAATTACCTTTATAATATGTAATCAAGAACTGCTAAGACAAAAAGAGCACCAATCATAATGCAGAGTGAACTGCTTCTCCACCACCACTTTACGCATTATGCCTGCAATCGTTTTTTAGAGATTAATTCTTAAGGGCACTAACACCTAATTATAAGAATTCACTTACAATAAAGGGGTCTGTATCGGTATATATGGCTTATTAAAAATTGCGTAAACGGCACATGATTAAGAGCTTGGTAGTACAAGGAATCGAAACGGGTCAAATCACGTTATTCCCGTCAAACCCAAGACCTCACTTTTAAAGGAGATGTGCATCCCCCAACAGGACCTATTACTCGCCTATTAATTGCCTATTAATCGTTGTCCTTATAACCCATATATTACTCATAATTTTTTTTCATTGAAGAATGAAGTCGGCTCAATATGATTGTTTATTATTTTAATAACTTGTATACTGTACAGGCCTATGGACCAAACAAATAAAAAAATATAATCAAATGTATTTCTTTTATTAAAACATTACCTAGTCACTTTACATCGTACTAATTAATATATAGTGCAATTAAAACTAATCTGAACCACTGCGCCTTGAAGAAGCACTAGACGCAGAACCACTGCGGGAACCCTGAAAGTAAATAAAAATACTTTGTAATCACATATTTAACTAAGCTTTCTTTTTCATTCGAAATCTGCGCGCAAAAGCGTTTTGTTGCACGCTAGCGTGGATAAGGTTTTTGAAATTTGAACTTGACGATGGGCTGTGGTACACCTTTTTTTTTTTTTTTTTTTTTTTTTTAGCTTTTTCTTTCGATGAAAAAAAAAAGATAATGACACGTTCAACTATACGATTTGTCGTAAGTTACTTATTTATGTAACATAAATGTGTTGGTACATTTTATTGTTATTATTGTTGACATTGAATTGACAATGATAACTAATTGTGTTTATTAAATTATTTTAATTCATCGAAGAACTGAAATAATTTTTAACAATCACACAGAGTACAAGCAAGAATAAAAATTGATGAGGTGTAAATTCATAACGCATCCGAAGAGAAACTTTTTCTTTTAATTACGCCACTTTCGCAAATTTTCGCGATTTTCGTCGCTACCCGCGACTGTTATTAATATATTTTAAAAATAATTACACATTGTTTTCATATGATTCTAGTGTTAATCGATAGGCATTGACTTACAATTATATGGACGTCGGGTCCGCGCTAAAAAGTGTCCGAACTTATAGGGCGTTAAAATCGTATACAGAGCGTCATTCACGCTTTAGGCTTCGTTTGTTCGACTGATAGTGAAGCAAGCAAAATTAGACAGTACTGCGATGACATTACAATTTAAATTCAACGTTTTAGCTTTTTCATATTCCTTTACATGTCACTACGTTTAAATAGGTTGACTTGGGACATTTTTTTCGTGGTTTTTGTATTAGACCCGTCGTCCATTTATTTGTAAGTCAATGTCGATAGGTATTTAAATGCTCGTCATCTTTATTTTTGTTTCTTAATAAAATGAATATACAAAGTGGTTAGTAGGTAAACCGTAAAATACGATGAAAATTTCGCAGAAATGTTCAATGTACTCGGAAGTTTGACAATAAAGTCGTCTAATTACAATCATAACTGTAGTCTAAACAAAAGCTACTTAAGTGCTCTTATCGCTCGTGTTATTCTTTAGTAAAAAGATAGCTTAATATGTTCTCGAGTTTCAAGTGTTTTTATATTATTATACGTGTCTTAACGCCGCCCGTAATGTAAACAATAAAAAAAAGGTAACTGTGTTGAAAAGTGACAGGTATCGCTCGACAGCAAAGTTGTTTTGCGTCTCGTGGCTTGAAACCCTCGCTACGTTCAGGAATCTATTTTGGAAGCACTCTTGCTCAGGTTTCAAAACAAACACTCGCGTCAAACAACAACTTTGCAGCCTGACATAACAAATAACTATTGTGGCCTAGCAGTTAGCGCTGTGTTTGCTAAATAAGGGGTCCACGAAATCAACTTCCTAATCTCCGTCCGAAATCATTACTGTCAAATAAGTAATGCTCGACCCAATCAAAACACAATGTCAAGTATGAAACTTCCCAGAAAACTCTGACCTGGGTGTTCGGCGTATATGTAAACAGGTTTTGAGACTAACACAGGTATAACCTTAAAATAATATGGTGTCTAGAATAAATAGTAGCTTTCAGGAAACAGATGGCTGTAATGAATTCCACTTCTTTGCCATACACATCAGAAAGATGAAGTGTTTCGTGTGAACAATGACAATGACATAAGGATGGAGTGAAGGTACTGTACTTCCTTCCTGACTAAAGGATGGAGTCACAAATAGGTTATTTCCTGATTTTAACCATCTCTGTAAATAATTTTTAATACCAACCTTTCTAGAGCCACTCGGAGATCGACTCCTCGAACGTTCCGAGCCACTACCAGACGCGGAGTTCCGTCTGGAACTAGCCCGGGAAGACGCCTTTGACCCGGAGGCTTTCGAAGACGCTCGTGAAGAAGCACGAGAAGACCTCTTGCTCGCTCGAGAACTTGCCCTGGAACTCGCTCGTGAACTTGCTTTGGAACCCTAGAAATATAACACATTATATTTTGTAATCACTACGGTTGCATTACGATGGTCTGCATCGGAACAGCCAATGTGCAGTTTAAAAAAAATGGCGCAAATATTAAAACCTAAACGTATAAAAAAGTGTCTAGGGATCAAGCACGATAATTCCAATTTTTAAAACTAAGTAAATAAATAAATAATTCAATAAATTTATAGTTTATTGAATAAACTCTAATTGACAAAAATGTTAATTATAATAACTGCCATCTGTTGGACATTTTGAATATTATTACAATCGCATCGCGAGTTTGTCAGTGAAGACAGTTACCATGTGTTATTGATCAACGTTAAGAACCAACCAAAATAAGCTGAGTACGAGTGCGAAATTTCTTTGCATGCGTTAACTTACAATTATATGGACGTCGGGTCCGCGCTAAAAAGTGTAGGAACTTATAGGGCGTTAAAATCGTATACAGAGCGTCATTCACGCTTTAGTCTTCGTTTGTTCGACTAACAGCGAAGCAAGCAAAATTAGACAGTACTGCGATGACATTACAATTTAAATTCAACGTTTTAGCTTTTTCATATTCCTTTACATGTCACTACGTTTAAATAGGTTGACTTGGGACATTTTTTTCGTGGTTTTTGTATTAGACTCGTCGTCCATTTATTTGTAAGTCAATGTTTGCATGAGACTATGTATCTGTCCTAGAAGTATGGTATTATAAATATTATCTATGCTCATATAAACCACTGGCCACATAAACATTCAATTTGAAAAAAGACGACTCCAATCGTCTTTGATATTTCAATTAAAGTTCTGGCTTTTTTTGATGATGCCAAATGACGAGACGAACAGTCGTGCGCCTGGTGGTAAGCGACACACCTATCCATAAGAACTGCTTAAAAACACAAAACCTGAGAGGCACTGCCATTGCGCTCATCACCTCAGACAGAAGTTGACAAGTGCCATGTGCCAGTAATTTTACCAGCACCAAAATCGGAACGCAGTGAAGACACTGCTTGACGGCAGCAATAGGTAAGGTAGCAGTACTTCCCTCAAAGAACTCTTTCACAGGAGTGCTGCTGTTTTTGTGAAAGTTATGTGGACAGTGGATGAAAGTTATGTGTCTCTTTTTAGCGTTCCCCTAAATATGTCTGTGGGTATATATTATCAAAATCCAAACTCTACCCTTACCTTGTCACTTCCTTTGGAACTAGCTCTAGATCTAGAACCACGACTAGCGGAGCTAGCACGGGACGCTTTCGCGCTTTTGGAGCTAGCCCGAGATGACGCGCGCGAACCCGATTGGGATCGGGATCGGGACCGAGAACGACCTGATCCAGACCTGAAGAAATAGGAAAAAATTACTTACAAATCAAAGCAGAATTTGGCAACCAAATTGTGTACATGTGTTGTGATCACAAGTGATGACACATCTTCCTTTACTTTCAATCTTTGAGAAATGAATATACCTCGCCGATCCGGATTGTGCAGACCTAGAGCGAGACCGGCTCTTCCTAGATTGGGACCGTGATCGCGAGCGGCTCCTGGATTTGGACCTGGATTGCTCGCGAGTAGCTGATCTAGATCGGTTTGATTGTGGCGATTTTGAAGCTGATTTAGATCGCGATCGTGACCTGAAAATAACAAAAATGTTGGCGATTTAGTTATACTACATTCTGGATACTGTTACAATTTTCTAACAACATTAAAACAGTTACCTCTCTTTTTCTCCATTCTGTTCTTGTTTATCTTCTTCATCATCCTCCTCCTCCTCTTCTTCGTCTTCTTCCTGGAATAAATAATTTAATTTTTAGTTATAGTTGAAAATACACTTTTCATTCACCACCACCAAAGGAACTTGATATTATTGAAATACGAACACAGATGGCAATTGATGAAAATATACAAAGTATTGGTTGAATAGCTGTCCAGGGAGGGGTCATACCGACTTGGCTATCTTTCAGCACAAAATGTTCAAATATACAATAGATTTCATGTCATAGAATTGCGCAGAACAGTAACACCAAATGTAACTCTATTGATCTACACAAAGGTGAAAACTCCCACAATCACCTCAGGAACGATAGTGGCCATGCATGAAACCAACAATCGCAGCCAACAAGCTGCAAAAATTGGAAAGGTTAGCGTGTAGTGTATGGCGAGGCCTGAAGCTATTTTGGCGAACAATTTCTGGAAGGGTGCACCACAAGAGTGGAAACCAGCTGTTATTATTAAGGCCTCATTCAGGCCCTATGCAGCCCTTCATCACAATGACCATTAATTAATCTATTGTGATCACCACTAATTACAATTCAGAGCCAAAGCCAACAAAGTTAAAGAAGTGCAGAATTCTCGTTATGGCCTGTACCTTATCAGTATGGAGCTTCACACGCAAATCAAGGAGTAAAGAGGTGCGTAGGAGTTTCATCCGCCTAGAAGCAGAATCTACACTTTCTGCTTTCTCTCGTTCATTTATCACATTTCAATTTCTAAAATTCATTAATGGTCTTCGGCAATGTAAATGTTGTCACATGTACATCAAGCTGTTGTAACAAGTTACAATTCTAAAATACACAAACCTGTACTGGCTCTAGCTGCTTCTCTCTAAATCTCAACATGCGATGTTCCTGCGCACTAAGCGGCCGGTGCGTGACGACCAGCCGCGTGAGCGTCTGCGCCGCGGCGACCGCGCGTGCGCGCCGCTTCGATAGGCGTACGCGAGTCTCGAGCTCATTGTAGTACACCACACCGTTGCGCACCACCTAAGAATTTCGATATTTTATATGATGTAAAGAAATTGTTATGTACAAATTCTACGACATCTTTGCCTCTTTTTTTTGGTGTTCAAATCCGGGAACAAACTGGAGTGGATCCCACCATTGCTATTGAGGGACTCATTGGTTTACAAGTTGTGAAGTAATTTCGATGTCTCTTTCTGAGTTGCAAAGTGCTTCAAAGTCAGAGTTATTTTATTAAACGCTTTTTGTTCACGCTTTTATACATTATTAACTATAAACAAGGCTCACGAAGAGGGCAAATAGCATCTTTCAAGTATAATACAATGATGCATTCCGCATGAATATTGTCAACATATTGTCACTAGCTATTTCTAGAGTTCTGTTTGGAGATAATTTTGGCTCGACTAAGAAACACAATCACCAGTTTCTAGCAAAAAGTAAAAGTGTCAGAATGTCTGGGCTAATCGGCACTGACAACAGTAGTTGGCTCTATAAACAGAGGCTACATGGATTGCAAATGTAAACAATACCTAACTATTCTTGTAATTAACTTTACTATTATTCTTTGGATTCTGTACTTTAAATTATACATTTTAATTTATAGGCGATGATTTCATTGGTTTTAAATTTTTTTTTTTAGATCATGAGACACGCAATTCTGAAAAAAGATATTTTTATTTTAGGCATCACTAACTTACTACATAAAAATATCTATCCATAGAAGAATCAACCCAAAAAAGAAACTAAAGTAAAACTTACCAGGAAATAAGTCTCTTCATAACCCTTTGAAGCCTTACTTTTAACATTCCAGTTGTACTCTCTTGCCATTTTGTATTCATATGTGTCTTCATCCATGTACGGTACACCAGCTGCAATGTCGCGGCGACGCTTCTGTATTGTCTCTTCAGTGGGCAAGCAGTAGGCTACAAATTGTTCACCACTCTCATCCATCACACCTCTGAAAAAGAAATAGCAAAATAATAATATTGACTCTGACATTGAGTCCACACAAAACACCCAGACCAGAAGCAAAAGGTTCATTTCTTATATTAGTTTTACAGAGATTCAACCTGGATCTATTTCTATTCATAAGTACAATTATCTGGTAAAAATTATAACATGTAAATTTAAAGTCTCACCGAATCATAGCCTGGGACATAGCTTCAATTTGTCCCGCAATACTCTTATCAGCTGGTGCAGGATCTGAGTCAAAAATGACCTGAGCACATGGATATTTCCACATCTCAAAATCGGGGAACACATTCATGACTTCAACCGGTGTCACACCAGGTTTACTGTAATGTTTTTCAATTGGTTTTATATTATCTTCAAATGTTTTCTCTATGGCTTTAATTTGACTCTCACGATCCATATACAATGTTTCCTCACTGAATATCTTTTTGACATTGTAACCGACTTTAGCTTCAACCTGAAATCATGAATATATTGTTTTAATATAAAGGTAGAAAAGGTACTATTGTTAGAACATTTTAATGGCTTTTGTGTAGCAACTAAAAAAAGATATATCTACGCAAAACTATTAGATATTGAACAATCAGTTATAAACAAATTATATATAGTATATCTGTATTATGTGTGGTATAGTGAGGGTAATACCTCCCTCAGAAACCCTGGAATATTGTCATTTGTTTTATTCTACACTCATGAAGTGAAGAAAATTTTTGTGATTGTAAGTAAAAGTGTGAGTTCGAAAGTGATTTTTTTCATCATTCCAAGAATATGGAAGGACGTATTCCACTTTATGAATATCTTGTCTCATATTGTCTTTCCCGATCTCTAGTTAAAATAATATAAGCTGCCAAATATGAGTTCTCTTATGTATGAACATTTATAGATCTGTATTAATTATTGATTATTTTATGCTTTAATATCATTTTAATGCAGGTTAAGTAAGCTAGTTTGTCACTTGCTCATAAGTAAACATTTATAGAAACTAATTGTCTCCCGCCCTCGATCCCTCATCCTGCTTCCTTCAAATCCCTTTTGGCCCTATCCTCTCATCCAAAAATATATAATATAAGTCATATTAAACTGTAAATATTATTCATGGACTAACACTATATTTAATATACATTAATGTTTCTAACTACTTGTGTTGTCTTATTTGTGCCGTCTCTTTTGTTGTAGGAATCAATTTGTGCAAAAATCTCTTCGATTCTCCCTCTGAGTCACCAAACAAAATTCTAGCACACCCTCCATAATGTTTATGAAACTAGAAAACGGCCACTGGCAGAATTGAGACTTAGCGTCGTATTTTATAACTCTACTCAATGCTCAAGTCAGGACTTGAGTATAATTCAAAGCACTAGAAATCATACTCAAGTCCTTGCCATTAGGATTGTCTTTCCAGTGCTTGAAATCATACTCAAGTCTGCTCAAATCCTGACTTGAGCATTGAGTACAGTTCTGGAATACGACTCTAAGAAGTCTCACAAGCTTTTCATTAAGAAAAAAAAAAGAAAAACTAAGTGTCCTTCTCACCTTTTCCATAGACTGAGGCTGGAACCTCGTCTGTTCAGTAGAAATATACTCCGAACGACGCAACCACGATACATTTTTAGCATGATGTCGGGACCTTTTCGAATCTTGTGGAGTAAGCACGTCATCTTCAAGTAACTTTTCATCAGCCGGGTCCAACTGAGCATTACCATCACCTTGGTATATATCCCGGTTTATCAGGTCTATGTGCACCCCTAAATCATGTTCAGTAAGTACTTCATAGCGGTAATTCTTCTCCAAAGAGGTTGGATTATATTGAATAAATCTCGTAGAGGGAAACGGATATGTAATAAACTTTAAATCAAAAGGAATGTCTGGCAGCGTATTACAGAATTTAACGCGTGTCACTAGCTCCGATCTGCAAGGTAAATACACGAATTTAAGACTGAAACAAGAAATAAATCGGTTAATTTTAAGTGAAGTAAACTAACCTTCTTTCGCCTGTGCGTTGCGGGCGTTTTTCCCGATCGGGTTCATTTGTTTGTACCGTTGGTGGCATTTTGAGATTCACAATATTTCACTCTAACAAGAAAACCCTATTGTTTTAGGTAATCCATTGAAATAAATGATAATTATTCGAAAGAATACTTTGCTTTCAAAACAATCTCTTGACACGACAAGACTTTTTTTTTATTAATAATTTTGGCTTGGATACATGTTCTTTGAGCCATGTCTTCGTTTACTTGTTTCTGTAAATATGGCCGCCACAAAGAGGATAGGCAATTTGAGGCGGCGTGTTTGGATTGACTCGGGATTCCTTAGAACGGGCCGATACGGGTATTTTAGTTCGAGATTCGTATAATTTCGCGTTTTAATCTTTGATTAAGGCACAATAGCAGTATCCTATTCCACTTTAAACTAGATTTCACAAAATAATTGAAAGTCAAAATAAAAACGACACTTTTCCCTCCAAAAGGCCCAGAGCGAATCACACACAGAACAATATTACCCTGAATCACACGACAAGACCTCCGGCCAGTGTTGCCGTTGTACATAATTGAAAGTCCCTAGATGGTCAGAGATTTTCCGCTAGATTGGGGTAAAAATAATTTCTTAAAATCCGCTAGGTGTTAGCTCCGCTTCCGCTGTCCGCTTGGAGGTACTTCCAAGCTTATCGAATTTGATTCACAAACAGTAAATAAAATTGCAAATAATTACGACAATATGAACCAAAAAGCACTTATTTTAATTGAGTTTTGAAATCAACAAACAAAAAATAATTATATTCATCTCATCATTCTGTGAGTGAAAAAAATTCAATCAATAGGTTTTTGTTTCCCCATTCCTAATCGTAACGAGCGAGAAAGGCATCAAACGAACGAATGGATGTTGTTTTGTTTATTAGAAACCATTCAGTTTGATTCTACGTTAGTGTTACCAGCATTAGACTAGAAAATTGGCCGAATATTACTAATTTACCGTATTTGAATGACAAGTAATAAGTAATTTTTGTTTCTGAAAAGAGCCTAGCGGTGAAAAAGACGCTAGATGTAGCTAGACATTTTTTTCTCGCTAAAACCAAATTTTTACCCGCTAAACATATTGTATAAAATTCCCTAGATCTAGCGACAAAGGTGCTAGAACGGCAACACTGCCTCCGACCTCCGACCAAGCGACCGACATTGTACGATTTGTACGGAATAGTGATGTTTGTACTTCATCTCTACATACATGCGTTGCTACATAACGTTGTAGTTACTAGTTATGGCTCCTACTTGGGAGAATGCTGACTCAACAAGTAGGGACTATTTATATCATGTGGAGCATTTTATTTATGGAAAGTGTAAATTTCGGTCTCTATATACTTAAGATCCATTCTCGTGGAACCCAATTTTTTTCGCTGTCGGAATCACTGAGATCAATTTATAGCCAATTTATTACTTCATTAATTTTATAGTTCACATAAATTGATATTACTTGGTACTTGGTGTAACCTGGTGTCCGCAACTCGACGTCAAGGCGCCTATTTTGCGTGTGAATTGATATTATTGTATCACAATAACATAAAATACAGTCTGTACGTAACGACATCAAAGTGGTTTTAACTCAATAGCTTTCAAATGTAATACAATAAGATATTGGTGACGAGAAAACTACAGTTTAAGTAAATACCAGTACTGCATTTACGAAATTTTGAAATTTAGCGAATATTAACTTTTTTCTTTATAAACAATAGAAAATCATTATAGTATTGAAACATTCATATTTGGACGCTTCAAGCTAGATATTCGATTCCCGGGCTGAGAGAATTATTTGTATGGCCTATATTTATTTCTCTCGTGAGTTTGGATATAATTTGTGGTTGTTTATGTGTGTGTCCATGTCCCTCGTGACACAGGGTATCCCTATGTGGGGATAAGTTGAGTGTGTCCGTTATTATTATTATTATTATTTACTTTATTCTTCTCATCTTGTTAGTTGGTTATTATTATTATTAATATTTTAATTATTATTGGGTCAGCTTTCGCCATCCTACTTTGGATATAATAGTTTGATCGCAGTGGCATGCTACAGGAGGAGGCTGTAATAGTTAAAACAAGTGACGTGAACATTGTTGAGACATTTATTATATCTTCGACTATTAAGGATCTGAGAGGAATATAAGCAGCACCATTTGTAAATACAATTATTTGCCTACTTTGTACAAAGTTATTTAATTTAATTCTCTAGTTCACAAGAGTGATACCGCTACCTACTCCCATTGACTTACAATTATATGGACGTCGGGTCCGCGCTAAAAAGTATCCGAACTTATAGGGCGTTAAAATCGTATACAGAGCGTCATTCACGCTCTAGTCTTCGTTTGTTCGACTGACAGCGAAGCAAGCAAAATTACACAGTACTGCGATGACATTGCAATTTAAATTCAACGTTTTAGCTTTTTCATATTCTTTTACATGTCACTACGTTTAAATAGGTTGACTTGGGAATTTTTTTCGTGGTTTTTGTATTAGACCCGTCGTCCATATATTTGTAAGTCAATGCCTACTCCAATATGTAGTTACCATGGACTTATGAAATAAAATATATAAATCCGTGTAAGGCACATCCTTAATATATTGTCTATGGTATTTGGTGTTGCTCTTTCAAAAAAATATTCCGGAAGTTATTTTTCCCGAGCCGATCTCCGTTCTCTCTCTCCGTCATTCGCTTGTCGTCCGTCCGTCGTTTTTCGCCATCTTTCTTTTCTTACAACTTTTGTCGGCAGTGAGGTACGTTGAAAATTTAGAATTTCACGCTAAATAGGTCACAACTGTGTTTTAAAAATAGTTAAATTTCTGCAAATTTTGCTTTTTTAAAAGATTTTGTTTTTACAAGTGATAGTCCTACGGTAGTTTCGGCGGGTTGCTACGCGGCCATGTGGTCGGTTACCGAAATGGTATTGCCGCTACTGCGCATTATGTTTTAGGAATAAAGTGGTAAATTTTGTGGTTTGAGGTCCTTATTGGGGCTTCTTTGTGTCGTGTGCTCGCAGCAATTTAGTTTTGACAGTGTATGCATGTGTAATTTTCATTAAAAGCCGGTAAGTAATCAACGTGGCTTTGCTAACTTTGTGATGCTGTTCTAGATAACAAGATGGGCACTGTGGAGCGCGCTGGTGACGCTACGTCAGAGGTGGAGTCCGGGGAAGAGGAAGAAATCGTGGGGGGTGGCGAATTGGCCCAGCACCTGATGAAAAGGTGAGAAATAGGTTAAGTTTTTTCTTTACACGTTCACTATTTCTTAATCACGTTCCCGCGAAACTCAACACTTAGATTTAGCAATATCTTGTAGTTTGTTGACTGCTTTGACTGCTCTGATGTTTTGCCACATGTCAGTCATGTCAAAATCACGCATATGGCCCCTCTGATAGTGCTGTTACGAATTTTCAAACATTCTATAACGGTTTTTCGTGTATCAATGTGATCATGATTCAATGGAAATTGTTTACGTGATACCAACTTCAGTTCAGACGTAGAATTCTTAAAATTTAGAAAAACACGTTTTTTGGCCTACTATACACGCCCAATTTGCCCTAAACAATGTTAAGAGTCGTAAACATTTTTATTTAGTCTGTCTTTTCTAATAAATGTGTTTGCAGACTTCATAATGCCACATGCTCTTAATTCATAAAAGAATGAATCATCACTTGACAAGCTCAGATGTCTACTTCATGAGGTTAAACAGTGATCTAAAAATAAATTCATCCAAATTCTCATCAAAGTACTTAATTTTCATTAAATTTCAGTCAGTGTCAAAATTTTAAAAATATCTGGCTATTAAATTAAAATCAACATAATAATAATAATATTAGTAATAACGCACACACTCAACATAGCCTCGCTCTAGGGAAACCCTGTGTCGCGGGTGCCATTGACACACACAGACAATCACAAATTACACCTAAACTCATGAGAGAAATAAATGTAGGCCATGTAAACAAACATTCCTTCCGGCCCGGGAATCGCACCTGGGACCTCTGCATAGCAGTCCGGCATGGTAACCATTCGGCCATGGAGGCAGTTAAATTATAAATAATAAATTAAATAATCTTCATTACTTAAAGGTTGAGTTGTAAGGACTTGTTATTTCTATATCATGTTTAGTTAAGTGATTGCTTCTAAATGAAACTGAAATTTAATCAGAATAAAAAACAACACTCATCAGAATTTCAGAATGTCTTCTGATAAATCTATAACAAACTGGCTGTTGTACATAACATCATAGTTTTTGCTATCTTTTTGTGTATTATTCTTCTATTTTTAGCACATATTTCTTGCATTATTACCAATTTTTTCTGTTATGCAATAAATTTATAGAAAGATCTAATCACTTGTAGGAAGCCCCATATCAATTGTATAAAAAGAAAAAATACGAGTTACACAAATATTAATAAGAATTATATAAAAAATTTTTTGCAATCATTTCAAGCATATAAGTTTCCAGAGACCTTGTGTAGTGTTCTTAAAGCGGATAGCTTTTATTAGGAAGTTGTTGACAACTTGATTTTACTAGTAAATATGTACAAATAATTATTTGTGCAGTTTTCAGCTACTTAGATAACAAATTATGAACAAATTTATTTACATAGCATTGTATTTTTGAGGTAGTCATTAATTTATTAACCCAGTAAAGTAAGCTAATTTTGGATATAGATTTAAAAAAAATTATGTTCCAAAGGACTGATAAAAGTAATGCTTTGGAGACCTAAGAATGTCTCAAATTTAGTCGCGCCAGTGTATTTCTCGAGCATCTACGTCCAACACTACACAGACCTGATAAAAAAGAAGATTGTAACAGAAGATTATAGTTAGGCTTGTTCATTGAACCAGTGAGTCATTTCACAGTCCACTTGTTCTCAATATGACTTGCATATTAACACCAATTGCCTACTTAGGACTCGGCCATGTTAACTGGCTTACATAGCATTGGACGCCGCCATGCGGTGTTGTACCATCTTGCGTTAAAGCTTGTTGGAATATCACAAAAAACAGTACATGTTTGTTAGAGACGCTACTCTTCTGTAGGGCTAGCACGATAGGGCGCGCCTTGCCCGAGAGCGACATAAAGCGCAAGATACGATTCATCCCCTAGTTTACCATCCTTACAGGTGGAATATTTTGTTCTCATTAAAATGTGTCCCCTCAAACTTAAGGGGTGACATCCTTCCTACTAAAGAAGAATCATCAAAATCGTTCCACAAATGCCGGTGTAATCGCGTATCAATAATACAAAAAAAAGAAACCGAATTGAGAACCTCCTCCTTTTTTGAAGTCGGTTAAAAATGTGGTTTTTTTAAACAAACAACACAGACACTCATACCCGCGCACTAGGGAAACCCTGCACCGCGGGTACCAAGGACACAGGTAGACAATCACAAATTACCCCCAAACTCGCGAGAGAGAATGTAGACCATTCAAATATTTCTCCCAACCCGGTAATCCAACCCGAGACCTCTGCATAGCAGTCTAGCACAAGTAACCGTTCGGCCACGGAAGAATTTCAGTTAAGTCAAATATATTTATATCTCTTCCTCTTCCACTTCACGAATAAAATTATTGAAGCACCCAGTTGGTCAAATCTTAAGTTAATTTTCTGGTTCAAAATTTTCTCTTGCTTTGTTTTTCCCTTTCATGATTTTGTACTTCAGCCATTAACATGTCTGCTACAACTTTTATACCTCGCAGCAGCAGATCAGTCGACATCGTCTCGATTGTGCAAAGAGACAAATGCTATTTGGACGCTGATGTGCTCATAACGTGTAAACGGAAATCCTATAGAGTGGTTACACACGGCGACTTTAACAGCGATGCAAACGCGCGTTCGTGACACGCGCGATTGCATCGCTACACTTGCGATTTATAGGCGATTGCATTGATACAAACGCGTGATTGCATCGCTACACTTGGAATTTATAGGCAATTGCATCGCTGCTTAAAATCGCGCGTGTTTGTATAGGTCAAGGTTGGCACGAAATCATTTTGATTTAAATCAAATTATTTTTTCAATAAAAATCAGTGATTTAATATTTGATTAATTTGTGTTTAATTTTATTTTCTTTCACAGAAATCAACGTAAAATCAGACAATTATATTTTATAGACTAGGGTCTTTTACATCCGAGAAATCAAAATCATTATTATAATACTTAAACAAAAAAACTAGCTTGCTGCGGTAATTAACCGCCTTCTTATATTACGACGTTTTACGTAAAAATATAGTTAAACTGTACGATAAAATAAAAAAAATCGTGATTAATTAGGATCTTTTTCAAAAAATCATTATTTTTCCAACCTTGGTAACGGTAGACGATTAGCGACTGCATCGAGACTGCATCGCGTTTGCATCGCTGCTAAACGTCGCCGTGTGTAAACCACTCATACGATTTAGCTCGTACGAGCGCACTCGTACAGTGAAAACCCGGCTTTAATATAACGGCCTTACAACTAACGCGAAAGTTTTCTTCGTATGCGTGCTAAGTGATAGAAAGGAATTTAATTACAGTAATTATGTGTTCACGCGAGCAATACATACTTATTTAATTATTAATCTCTTTTTGTAATGAATAGATTGTTGTCGTATAAGATTAGTAGCAGCAACTCGTGAAAGAATTCGTTCAGGGAAGTACCTGCCACCTTTCCTATTTCTGCCGCCAAGCAGTAATACTCACAATGCTGCGTTCTCTGGTATTGAGGCGTAATGGTGCCGGTGAAATTACAGGCACGCGGGACTTGTCAACTTATGTATCAGGGCTTAGTGGCAGTGCCCTCAGATCTTAGCAATTTTAAGCTCTGAGTGGCACTACAACTGCTATGGCCTGGCGCGTCACTTACCACCAGGCGCTCTTGTTTATCATAAAAAAATGTTCATGTGCACTAAATTTTACTCCGTCTTAATTGCCATGTAAAAGACACTCTAAATGCATTGTGTTAAGAGTGTCTTTGTCTTATCAGTTTAACGATTATTTTAAAACGTATTTGTAATGCAAGTGTACTACATAGGTCATTTATAGAACGAGATTGACAATAACTACAGCGCAATGAAGTGCTACGTCGAAAATACGTTACCCTGAAAATTTTTTATGTTAGTTAAGGCGAGTCTTCGGTGGAGAAGCGGGAAACAGCTGTTTTGCTATTTTTTTATTTATTAATTTAGTTCAGGCCACATGACCCATACAACATATACCTTAAAGACTAACATATATATATAATATAATAAAACACTATTTCTAACTAATCTACACTAATTGCACTTGTCGGCGACGTGGGGCGCAAACTGGTGTCAGGTAACCGGCCGCGGAATCGCCGATGTATGACACCCTTCGGCCAAAATTCTTCCTTCATGAAGGTCGACAGATGTTCGGTCGGTACTCTCACGTGGCGAGACTCCAACCGCTCGACCCATAGGGGGTATTTCGCTTTATCATATGATTGCACTTTACTCGTTCGAAATCACGAATACAGGATAAAATGAAGGTCTGAAACGAATTATTTAAGAATAAAATAATGTTGTAACTTTACACAATTTTGACATGGAGGTAATATTTTCTTTAAATACTACGAGAACCTGCTAAATAATGGTTTTCGACTGAAGCCCTACAGCTATTAAATTCACATTAACCGAAGCTTGACAATTATACAGCGGTTTAACGACACGCCGCGTCGCCCGCTGCCCCGTCAGTCGCCATCGGGTGTTTGTTGACGTGGGACTTGAGTGAAGTTTTCTCCGCGTGTTCTTATTTTATTCATATTAATTTTAATCGCACCTATTGTGGGACGCGAAGGGCGGCACACCTCACCTGCTTGCTTACAAATACCTCACCTGCTTGCTTACAAATACCTGGCCTTAAAACAGTTTCAAAAGAGAAACAACGTCGTTACACACCGTATCAGAAGTGTATTATAATCGCACAGACGTAAGAAGATACGCTGTACCAAAATGTTACAATGTTAATTGGTGTATCATTCAGTAAAATTCATGTGACGTCATCAATGAGTGTACGAGACACGGGACCATTGAAACAATGGAAACTTAAAAATGCATCACGGTTTTTGAAATTACATTCCGTTTTAGCAGAAAATTAACGAAGATTTATGATTAAATTTCATTTTGGTTCTTATTTATTTCTCGAACAAAAAGGGCACATTTGTTACGTGTTGTTAGTACTTAAAATGTATTCTTATAAGCTACCTTATAGAATATATTTACATCGCACTTGAAATAGCGCTACAGTGACCATTCATTTTTTTTTTTTTTCATTTTTATTTAGTTAATTCTGTGGGATCATGTATATTATTACGCTACACGCATAAACTGTCACGCACTCTGTACACCAGAAGAAGAAACACCATAGATATTGTTTCTAGTGTTAACACAAATAGTCAGTGGAAAGTTAAAAAATCTAAAGCCAAGCGAAAATGAGTCCTATACAATTTAGTTTTTTTATGCAATAAATCTGTCTAGATGCTGTAACGAACAATATAGTCTGATAATTCACCACTTTCTTGCGGGTTTTCGCGATTGTTTCACATTGGAAATGAAACTATTTTTCCGGATTTAAATCGAGTATATTTGTTTTTTCAAATGAACCAACATTTCGGGCCCTTTACAAGTCCCGAAATTTGAAAATCAAATATACGCGATTTAAATCCGGAAAAATAGTATAATTTCCAGTGGTCGAAAAGGCTCGAGCCTTTTAGCCCTAAATTTAAAGCTTGCGAGTCTTTTTTAAAGGCGGACTCACAAAAGAGTTCGAAAAGGCTCGAGCCTTTTAGAACTAAATTTAAAGCTTGCGAGCCATTTTTAAAGGCGGACTCACAAATCAGTAGTTCTAAAATTGCTCACTATAAAAGGGTTTGAGGCTTTTTTAGGCCGAGGCTTTTTTTAAAGCCTTTTTAGAAGACTGGCGTTAGCGGTCAAAAAGGCTCGAGCTTTTTAGCCTTTTTTTAAGACTCACCGCTTTATAGTGATGGCTACAATATTAATAATAATAAATGGATAATAATAAATATGTCACTACATATTCACACAACGCTATCTAGTCCCAAAGTAAGCAAACTAAAGCTTGTGTTATGGATACTAGACAACCGATAAACAAACATATACATTTATAGACACAGAACAAATTATCATGTTCATTACACAAACATTTGTCCTCGGTGGGAATCGAACCCACGACCTCTGGATTAGCAGTCAGGATTACTAACCACTACGCCACGACGCCACTATTCTAAAAAGGCTTTAAAAAAGCCTAGGCCTAAAAAAAGCCTCAAGCCCTTTTTTAGTGAGCCATTTTAGATCTATTGTTTTGTGAGTCCGCCTTTAAAAAAGACTCGCAAGCTTTAAATTTAGGGCTACAAGGCTTGAGCCTTTTTGACGGCTAGCAAAAGCCATAAATACAATTAGCCTCGAGGGCTTGAGAGTTATTTAGCTTTTTAGCCTTCTAGCCATCGCTATAAAGCGGCGAGTCTTAAAAAAGGGCTAAAAGGCTCGAGCCTTTTCGACCACTAATAATTTCCCATCTTCTGTTATTTTTGTAAACAGCCATATTTATTTACTAATATTGATTATTATGCTTTCCGAATTTTGTGAAAAAAAAATAAAGAAACAATAAATAAATTTCGAAAAACAAAAAACATATTTTGTGAAAAAAAAGAAACAAAAAACAAATTAAAAACAGAACAGGCCCAAAAATTAAGTTGGTATAGTGTTCATTGGAGGTACGAGATATGGTTTCAAAACTGCACACAAATTGTCATTGGAAAGCTGATATACCAAAGAACCTTCCCCACACGACGTACCATTCCTTTTCTATACGCCCTAGGTGCACCCTGGGCAACAATCGGCGAATATCTATTTTACGCCGGTTGGCAAATCCTTTGTCTAAAGCCACTTTGAGCGAAAAATTATAATAGCAGCAAATAGTTCTATATAATTTTTTTTTATTCAATAGTTTCAAATGTCGTAGCGAAACTAAACATATTTTTATATAATATCAAGTGATGGGACGTGCGCCTGATGGTAATAAACTACACGCCTGTCCATAACAGTTGCAGTGCCACTCAGCTTTTTAAGTCGCAAAGATTTGAGGCGCACTGCCTCTGCGCCCGTCATGTCTTAGTTGCTTCGTTATTTCTTTGTAATTCGCACTTATTAGGCTCGAATATAGGCTACCTATATAGGCTAGAATTTATTTTCCATAGGTAAGTTTTTCGCCCATATTGACAAATGGAGTGTAGATGCCTAACGAAACGCTCTTCCTATTCAAGTTATTGTGCGGTTTTCTACCTTTTTATTTGTGTCATGGATTGTACATTAATCAAGTCACGCGTTCAACAAGGCAAAATAGCAGCCTACTAGTTTCTTTACACAAGATTAATTTGCCAAAATTTCTAGTCATGGCATATTTTCTAAAAATATTTTGTCTAATTTAAAAATTACGTTTTAATAATTGTTCTCTTACATCATTTTCATGTCTTGCTTATTATGGATAGAGAGAAAGAACCAACCGACAGGTAAGTCCTTAAATTATTTTTCATTATTGCTACTGGCCAAGCAGGCCGTGGAGCGAGGAACCGTTCCGAAACGTCGGGAACATAATAGGACGTCATATCGTAGTAATTAACTTGTAATTCGTCATCCAAGTGCCTACTTCATAAATAAATAAAATAAATATACTTTATTTAGAACATAATAGGACGTCATATCGTGGTAACTAGCCAATAACTCGTCACCCAAGCACCCACTTTATAAATAAATAAAATAAAAAGACTTTATTTATAACATAATAGGGCGTCATATCGTAGTAACTAAACCAATAACTCGTCATCCTAATACCTACTTTATAAATAAATAAAATAAAAATACTTTATTTATAACATTTAAAATAATTGCTTGAAACTGTGACGAATAAAAGGTGAAAACCTCGGCAATTTGCTGGTTGCGAGTATTTGCCGTTGGAGATGCCGCAATATGCAGAGACGGGTAACTCTTGATTTAAATGTATAATTAAGAGGATACCTTATTCACTAAATAGAACAGTTACTACGGAAATATCAAACTTTATACTAAGCTTCAAATTACATACGTACGTTTAAAATAAATGGAGGATGTTTGACAACGTGAAGAATGGAATCAATTTGCGAATTGAATTATTTTAAATCAGATGAGGTCTGGGAGTTCTGCCAGGTGTTATCAGTTATCATCATGACACTGGCACTCATATACACTTCAAATCAGATAATCGGTCAGACGACACTAAGGCTTTTTGGTGCAAATTCTCGGGAGTATTATGCTATATTTGCTATATTGTAGTTAAACAAAAGCACGTGTATGTGTGTGCATAGAGTTAGCACCCTTTGAGGAAAGTTTATGAAATATTAGTCGTTTAGTAAAAGTTCTAAAACAATTGCAAAACCTATGTTTTTATTTGTAAAAAGATCACGGGCAAATAATTTAATGTAGTAAAAACACTCGTTTTTCACAGAGGGTCCGTCAGGTCTACAAAAGTATTAAGTTTACAAATAGTATTATTCCTTTCCTAGTTTATGGTGAAATTATCGTCGTTAATAATACTTACAAAACTAAGACGATTCAAATACACACGCTAACAAAATTATGCCTGTGTATTTTAAGACTGAAGTTTAAAGTTTAAGCACTTAACTATTTTGGTTAAAATACTTAAACCGACTTCATGACCCACGGTTCTGTAAGATCTGGTCAAGTAATTGCTGCTTGTTCAGACTCGCGTCGGAACTAAAATATTGTATGCCATTTCTAGGGTTATTGAAGGTTGCGTTTTCACCATAGATGTGCGAGGTAAAAATCCACTAATAGGTAGTCCTATTGGTAGATTTTTCACTTTCCTCGCGCAGCTCTAGTGGAAGAGGGCTAGCGGAACTAAGTATTTGTACATACAAAAAAGCGAGAGATGTGCTCGCACACATACGAGCTAGGTTTGTGCGAGGTGAGTACACGATCGAGTTCGCTGTAGCCCTCACTCAACCCACCACACTGCACCCCACCCGAGCACAACTGGAAAGAGCGTAGCTACCTCGCACAGCTTTGGTTGAAACCATCAACGTTTCACAGCACCGCTACACATTCTCTCACCGCCTAGCCACCTCGTACATCTCTGGTGGAATCGCAGCCTTATAGGCGCTCGCATTGAAATAACATTCGAAGTACGCCACGTGCCCGCAGAGGACCTAGTTACTTATTTCGTGAACGTTTTCCTTTTTAAACTTAAACTTCATTAGTCTTTGGAGGTTAAGTTATTTCTGATATTATGTTGGAAAGTTCTCAGGTAAAGTTTTTCTTTTATGGGTTTCAACGAAAGCTTAGAAATGTTGCCGGAAACATTTCCTAGTACGGCAGTTATTTTTTTATATCGACCAGAAAAGAGTAAAGAAATATTTCATTTACTCCAGACTTAACCAGAAACTTACGTACGTATTGTTCGCGGATTGTAACCTATTGCTAAAATTTACTACAATGTACAATTATAATAATGGTGATAATATATTTTCTTTATTTTTCTCCAACAATAATTTTTTTAAAGTAATTGGATAGAATAAGAACGAACATTTTTAAAATCCAGACAATAATTTAGTTAATAGTACTATTATTACTTCGAAAATATTATTTTCATTCAGGCCAATTAACGCTATTTTTGTTTTATAGTTTTCAGAAATGTCAATTAAATTACATCTAACTAATTTTTCTCGACGATAATTTTGATTACGAATAACAAATAACCGATCAATAATTTATTATTGTTTATTTCTTAGCGGCATCACCCGCAACGAGATGCTGGCCGCTATCACTTCCCGACTTCACGCCGAGGCCATGGCGTCCCTCCCTCCGAACGTGCGCCGGCGCGTCCGCGCGCTCCGCTCACTGCAAAAAGAGTTCGTTGACATCGAGGCCAAGTTCTACAGCGAGGTCCATGCGCTCGAGTGCAAGTACGAGAAGCTTTACAAACCGCTGTTCGAAAAGGTAAATTTTATTTATTGAAAACTGCATTCTCTCGTAGTTGTCCGTCATAAAACACTCTTTTAAATCATTCTTTAATAAACTATTCATGCATCGTCCAATATATGGTAAACCCGTTGAAGCCTCATCTTATAGATGGATGCTATAGTAGCTCGCTCACTGCATCCAACCAGAGGTTACAGCCTATAGACATAAAACGTTTAGTCTGTTAGGGTGCTAGAATGGGGTTTTTAGACAAAACCAACGTAAGGTGATCTCGTATCAAAAAGAAATCTATACTATCAAAAAGAATAGATAAGTGGGCGACCTTACCTATTTCTGCCGCCAAGCAATAATGTGACTACGTTTTGAAGGATAAGAGTGAAATTACAGGCACATAGGACTTGTCAACTTATGTCTCAGGGCGACAGACGCAGTGGCAGTGCCCTATTTGTTCCGTCACTGGATATCCAAAAAACGGATATTAAACTCTAGCTAGGAAATAAATGATGACACATTTTCACCGATAACTGATTCAATGATTGAACAAAATCATGCACTACCAACTGACAATAAGTCTATGTACAATGTACATACATTAACCTTTCAGAAACCTTTATGCTCAAAATGATGTCTTTTTTGTCAGCGTGCTCAAGTAGTTAACGGTTTATACGAGCCTACTGATGAGGAATGTCTGAACCCGTGGCGCGATGAGAACGAAGACGAAGAGCTGGCGAGGGCTGTACAAAGCGCAGCTATCACTGAAGGGGAGAAGAAAGAGGGAGAAGAAACTAAAGCTGTTGAGTAAGTTATTCTTCACTGAACAATGTGGTTCATATTACCAAAAGACGTATAGGTCATATTATAAGTTATAAGACTCGTCAGTTTCGTAGTTTAAATGAGACTGATAGCTTTGAAAATTGAGTTGCTCACGTTAGTATTTTTAATTCAAGTGTTTTTGTTTGTCTATGTATGTATGGAATGTTTGCAAAAACCATGTGCAGTATAAGAGCGTCATAGCACTGTACAAACCTCATAACACGATTTTTATAAAGTAGATGTTGTTTATTTTACTTTCCAGAACATCTATTACTTTCTAAAAAAAAATTTAGCTTTTTTCCCCAAATTGGCAAAATAACAGGTTTCTTCTTATCGATGCTTTACACTATTGCGGTTCAGAACTTAGCAACGCTGCCATTCTGCAGTGTGGAACATGTTTGCCAAACAAACATGGCACATAGCTGATATCACCATACTGCACAAGCTCTAATTAGGCGTTTTAATTTTCTCATAGGGTATTAAACACCAGTGTGTGCTGACCCTCGCGTCATAAACTACCACTCAGAATCCAACTTAGTCTTGACATGATGACTTTTAATCACCAAGATCTGAATGCCGTGATCGAATGCAACATGCATCACCAACTGAAGTTCCTTACAACGTATCTTTCATCCAATATTTATTGTTCAGGTCACCAATGCAATATAATTGGTTTCAGGTCTCCCCCAATGAACCCGAATGTGAAGGGCATTCCCGACTTCTGGTACACGATATTCAAGAACGTATCTATGTTGTGTGAAATGATGCAAGAACACGACGAGCCCATTCTTAAGTGCTTGCAGGACATCAAAGGTACTTCTAATATTTCTATATTTAGTACATAAGAGTCAATATTACCTCGAAGCTCAGCTTGAATTCAAGTGTTTCCGTATTCATTTATGAAAACGGAACTAAAGCCATTAGAAAAATGTATATCGTATACCTTAGAATAATAACGCCATAGAATGATAGTTTCATATCAAACGAACTGTCACAAGTGAGGCAAAAATCAAATTCATGTAGGCTAGTTTTAGTAGTAGGTTAATTTTCGGTTTTAGTGAATATTTATATAAAAATACAAGTTGAAACGCGTTACTTCCTTGTGGAATGTGATGTTAGTATCTATTTTGTTTGTCTGACGTATTTTTATACTCATTTACCGCACATTTCGTCATTTTTAGCTAAAATTCTTGATCTGTCCGCGGTGCAAGTTGACCTTGAGCACTGAAGGCCCGCCCGCTCGTGTAGGCCCATTGGGCGCGCTTCAATTTGCCTCACTTAGCGTGTGCGGACTAGGTTTCTATGCGTTATTATTCTAAGTCGTATACTATAACGCGTTCTATTTAGTTCAGTTAATGTAAAAAAATCGTTTCGTTTCGTTTTCTTGTACAATTTTAAATTTGGTTACCATGCCACGTGGCACGCACATGTCTCCCGGGTTCGATTCCTGGAGGGCTACTCTCGATCTCCGTCCGACATCCGTCCGAAACAGTTACTGTCAAATAAGTAATATTCGACAAAATTAATAGACAAGTATTCAGTATGAAGCTTCATTCGCATGACGCGTCTTTTCATTTGGTCAAGTATTGCTTATTTGGCAGTAATTGTTTCGGACGGACGGATGTCGGACGGAGATCGAGAGTAGACCCCCTGGGCCGGGAGACATATCTGTATGGCCTGCATTTATTTCTCTTGTGAGTTTGGGTGTAATTTGTGGTTGTCTATGTGTGTGTCCATGGCACTCGCGATGCAAGGGTTTCCTAGCGCGGGGATTCGAGTGTGTGTGTTAT